TTACCAGGTGATGTGATTGGTTTTGATTTTGGCATATTTTATCACCACGATGATGTTTATGTAGTATTACTACTTTGGTTAGCCACATAAATCCGTTTTTAAGTTTATGTCTCAAACCAATAAATTTAAAAAATATTATTATATCAATTTATTAACTATTATGTTATATTTTTATTTAAAAATTATAACCAATGATTATTTTATAATTTTAGATAATTAAAATGATTGTTTAATAAATTTTGTAATAGAGAGATACAATTAAAAAACACACTATAATCAATAAACTATCTGAGTAATCTCCGGAAGACATTTCATAATTTGGAGGTCTCCCACGGAAATTACTCTCAACCTGGCGTTGGGGACAGCCTACTACCTTACCTCCCCCTTATCACATTACATATGAGAATAAGGGTCACCTAATTTACTATAATCAAGAAACTATATGAGTAATTTACCCTTAGTATGTAAATTATATTTAGTTTCCCATCTTTAAAAAACACACTAATGATTATATATATATATATGTGTGTGTGTGGGGGGATAAGATCTTGTTACACAACCTAAACTCTTTTAGTTTTACACAGATTTAGGATCGTTGGAATAGCGAAAATAGATGATTGAGATTAACAATAGGAATGAGAAGATATTCATTGGGGGGAAATGAGTCAATCTCAACCATATATTTTCACTCATTTGTGTAAAACTTTATAGTTTTACATTGTGTAAGTGGATCATAACTCTATATATCTATAGATGGGTCAAACTAACTTGTTGGAGTTAGAGATAAAGTGAGCAAGAGCTGCACCGTATCTCATGAGTCATTAATTTAATTGATTATATTTTTATTTCAGATGAAATTATAAAAATTCTATAATAATTTTACTGTAATTAAAGTCAAATCTATCGAATAATATATCTATAGAAAGATTAAGACAAAACTTCTTTTAAAAATGACTCTCTAATACTTTTGTAAGTATTGTTGTATCAGTGTTTAAATCAATTGAACTGAGTGAACCATGAAAAAAATCATAACATAAACAAGAAGATAAGAGAGTTTATTTATGTAGTTTAAATTATCAGATATATTACTTCTACAAAATTCTCATTACAAGAGACACGAATCATCAATCTAACTACACATTAATTGTGTATATTTTCTCGTACAATATGATCATAGCTATTCTATTATATTCTTATATTGCCCCGATTACTCAACACTTGATGTTAACAAAACTTACAAAACTCACAATTACACTCCCTCTCAATAAATTAATATGTGATTTATTAACAAAATTCTCTCAATATATTAAATATGTGTAAAGTTAAAAAAGTTACATTATGTTATTGGATATTAATAAATTAATGTGCGTCAACTTGGGTAATATGTCTTTTTTTCTTCTTCCTATTTTAACTGTTTTATTAATGTATTAATAAAATAACTTTAAAACATTGTAATCGAAACTACATAACTCAATAAACATTTTTTCAACCACTAATAAAGAAAAATATATTTCTACAACTTTTTCACTGTAATACCCAAAAATATGGTTAGTGACCAAAATGAATAAATTGAAAGTTTGGTGGTTAAAATATAAACTTTGGAAAGTTTACCCTCTAGAATGTCGTTTTCATGGGTTTCAATTTTTCGTACGTAGTTTGTATTAAAGGCTATAAAGTGTGAAAGTTTGAGAAAAATTCGGATAATCAGATTGAATCGAAAATTCAGGAAATTTTTTTAGATGATAAAGAAAGGGAAAATGTCTTTTCCATGCTTTAAACTGATAAGATTTAATTAGGACCATTGGATTTAAGTTGATTTTCATGTTAAATCTTAGTCATTAGATTAAAAAGGACAAGATTGTAATTTTAGAACTTTACAAGGGTAAAGTTGTAAACTAATAACTTCATGGATTAATTTCAACCCTTGGATGATAAATTTGATATGTGACATGATTAAAATCATTGTATTTTAAGGTCATAATAGTTATTTTGGACTAAAATGAATTTTAAATTCATTTAGGTTATAAAAATCACAAAAGGACTAAAAAAAGAGAAAGTGAAAGATTTTCCCCTTCAACTTTTGCTGCTGCCGTGAGTCCTTTGTAAAACCTAGGTAAGTTCCAATTTTAATTTTTAAACATTTTGAGTTGGATTTAAGGTTAAGACATGAAATCCAATTTTGTTCTCCATTAAATTCTCTATTATTTGGTACCATTTGTTCATGTTGTTCATGCTTATAACCCTAAATTTATGAAAAGGATGGATGAAGGGATGATGAAATTTGAGGTTTCAAGGCTTGAAAATGATGATAAAGGTGTTGTGATGTTGAGTTCATGTTCCAAGTAATGAAAAATCCATTAGTTTTCCTTTAGGGACCCATTTGGAAAAGATGAAAAGTTAAGGGGTTGATGTTTTCCTTTAGGGACCCATTTGGAAAAGATGAAAAGTTAAGGGGTTGATGTTTTGAATGGATTTTTATGTTAGATATGATGAGAATATTATGTTTTATACCTTAGCATGTTTATTCAAGCTTAAAATGAGGAAGAATGATTGAATCCTAATAGTGACCAAAACGACACTTTAAGAAAAGTTTGGGAATTATATTTAAAGTTTGAATTTGAATATAAAATTACAATACAAGTTTAAATTTGTTGTTCGGATCTTGAAAACACATTGAAAGTGATGGATTATATTAGGGCATATGAGTTTCTTAAGGAAAAATTTATAGGAAAATTCAAGTGACTAATTATTTATGATATTTGTTATCTTTCAAGGATTAATTTGATGATTAAATTATTGGATTTAGATTTGAAATGTAAAATCTTTAAAGCCTAAAAGAGAAAAATAAGGGTTTAAGGTGGAATTGTTATTTTAAAGGTGAATTCAAGCAAGTTAAGGTGGAAATAAAGTGTAGGAAACATTGTAATTACAAGTTGTGTTGGAATGAATATTATGAATTGTTCCTACATGGGTTAGATGGATTCTAACATGTGATTTTGATTTTTTTGTGTTATACATCATTAGGAAGACTTGAGATGAGTCTACCTTATTTATATTGACATGATATTTATGTCATTAATCAAATATTTGACATGTTTTAAATATGTCAAAAGTTAATATAAAATGCATCATTCTTTAGTTTATTTATGATGTTATATCATGAATGTTATTTCGGGTATGAACTACCTAATGTTAAATTATGTTGATATACAATGCCATGAATGAAATAAATATAGACTATATGCCTAAGTAGGTCATTGAGGGACAGTGATATAATGACATGTCATAGAGTCTAGCACCAGGTTGCATATTGATTTAGCACTATAATGTATATAAAGGACACTTAGTGCATAAGGTGGGCTAGACCTTATGTGTATTATGGTGGGCACGATCTTACGTGTATTAGCACTTCGGTGCATATTTGACTTGTGTACCCAGGATTCTAGTAGGCTTATATTTGGGCTATGGTTTATTGGTTAATAATTTATAAACATGTGATTAAGCTTATAAGCTTATGGAATAAATGACAAGTATATTGGAAAGAAATTATATACATTGTTTATTTCATGTTAATATGTGTAACATGAAGGTAATACATGTAAAGTGATCATGATGCATTAAGTGTTGTTATTTCTTTATACATACAATGTATTGCACTGATTATTATTATTGTTCTACTAAGTGTATACTTAACGTGTGATGATTTCACGCGTAGGTAAAAGCAGAAAATTGGAGTAAGAAGTATCAAGCATCACACTCATCAAGAGGTATATCTACCGTATCATTAATTACATCAATATGATGTAGTTTAAATTTCTAGTTGTGATCATGTATATGATAATAATAGTTGGTTTCTACTAGTTTAGATATAACTGATAATAAACTATCAGTTAGTCATGTTAGTAATAATGGATAATGGTTAAAATAAACAATGAATAATTTATATTAGCGTTTGTAATTGTTAAATGAATTACAAGTTTAATAATCTGATAAACAATATAATTTTAGATTAATTTTGAATATATCTACCGCTAAGTTGCTACATGAAATTGAATTTAATTTTATTAATTAAAAACTAAAAATTGAATTTACTTGATAAATCGTATTTAGGAATTAATTATAGATAAGGATGTTACATGCACCGATTTTTTAAACCATTAAATGATTTTCGGGGTTATATGATTCAAACTCTTAAAAAAATGGGTTCCATCATCATCATCACTCAACATCAAGCATCTCCAGTGTCTAGAACTTGGCTTATATTTTACGACGTTAGTCATCAATTTGGTTCAAAAAAAAAATCTTTTTGGTCTTTTATTCCTCGGTATTGTACAAAATATCTTATTTTTGAGTGCTGGTTAGAATCTTTGAAGAAAATAAATTAAAAATATATATTAATTTTTATGTCAAACATTGATATTGAAATTAAAATATGGATCAGATACTATAATACAAAGCATCCTTTGATTATCTTGCTTTTTTTTTTCATTTTGACATGGTCGGCTTATCCTCTCCTCATTTCCAACACTCAATTTTAGGAATTGGTTTTATCACAAATGATTATAAAACAATTAATTAAAGTATTTATATAAATGTATTGAATATAAAATATTCGTATACGTATATTTTATGAAAAAAATCATAATTTCAAACGAAAAGGAATTATGGTAACCAAAAGCATCTTGTTAGAGGGCATAATGTAACTGTTATAATTCTCCCATGCCTTTGTTTCGACACGTTGAGCAACACTTAAAAGGTAAGGAGTGTTGAAGTTGATGTTTATGTCCCCAACAACAAAAATTAAAGAAGAAGATATTCGAGTTTTGTGGATGAAAAAAATATAAAAAAGATTTAATTTAGATTAATAATTTAACTTGACTCAAATTCAGATATAGTTAAATTTTGTTAGTACTAAGTACATATACGTAGATTGGTGATAGTAAGGATGGAGTTTGTATTCTTTTAGCTGAGCACAAGCTAAGAAAAAGTAAAAGCCCCAGGACGAAGATAAATACATTGAAAACGCTAGTGCCCCCACTTTGTTTTGTTTTCTTATCTTTTTTTCCTTTGTTTTCTGAGGTACGAAATAGTGAAAACCTAATGGCTTTGGTGTATTAGAGTTCCCTCATATAACATTATCATAAAGAACAGAACAGAGGGAACGGCTCCTTTACCCTAAAGAAGAAAGAGAGGAGGGAATTGGGTAGTTGAATAATAATAATATTATAGTACAATGGGGAGAGGGAAAGTGGTGTTGAAGAGGATCGAGAACAAGATAAACCGACAGGTGACGTTTGCAAAGAGGAGGAATGGGTTGCTGAAGAAGGCTTACGAGCTTTCGATTCTCTGTGATGCCGAGGTTGCTCTCATCATCTTCTCTAATCGTGGCAAGCTCTATGAGTTTTGCAGCACTTCTAGGTATATATATTACTGTCAATAGCTCCTTTTCTTTGCCTTCTGTCTTCGTTTTCATTTTCCTTTGTTGATTTCAAGGGATGGGTGTGATTCAGTTTCATGTTACATCTTCTTCTTGGATATGTTGGGTTTCTAGCTGTTCTTGTCTGATAATCTGAAGTTTCTGGAGATCTATATATATGTATAAACACACACACATATAGGAAAAGTTTTCCCTTATTTGCACGCAGTTTAATGATGATTTGGAAGGGGATAATCATGGTCTTGGGAAATGTAAAATGTTGTTGCTGCTACCATCTTTGTAGCAGTTAAATAGTTTATGACATGAGTAAATCATGATTTAACTGTTAAATTGAGAAAATCAAAGCCAGGAGCTGTTGAATCAAACGCATGAATTAGGTTGATTTCTCTTATTTGAGATTGTTTTTTACCAATTGTTTAATCGCATTATTCACTAATGACTATTACGATCAAGTGAAAAAGAATTTGATGTTTCTTAAGTAAAGTATTGAGTTTGAATTTCATATATGAAACTCTTTCCTTTTATTCTTTTTTAGAAATGTAATAAACCATTGCAGCTTTACGGTATCTTATCTTGTTTTATCATTCATACATGAACCCAACCTTTAACCAAAGGACATTCAACACATGTACACATTGATATGAAACATAAAGACAATATCTTTGACTGTTCTCGACACATATATTACATTGTCTTCTTATTGTTGTCACTGATTTTTTCACAAATCTTTGTCATGTTGCAATATATATGTATTATATACGTGCATTCAATTTGTGCTTTCTTCTAAAAGCTAATGACTGCAAGTTTTGTGCTTTCACTGAGGTAGTAGCCTCTTGGGGTCCCCTTTTAACTATCTCCCTTGCTAGCCCCATTCTTGTTTCATGCATATACATGACACTCCATTATTTTTCTCATGCATAGACATGATAAATAAGGAAGGAGACAAGATTTTATGCTAAGAGTCTAACTTATAAAATTTAAGAGTGAAAATAAATTTTCAATAAGAAATACAAAAGAAAAAAATCTAAATTATATTAGAATTTAAAATTTTTAAGAGGAGATTGTCCCCCGCTAACCCCTTCAGTTATTCGTGATGATAAAGATTACATAAGATAGCTGCTATTTCATACTTTTTCCTTTTTTTTTGCCTGTCATCCCCTATGTTTCATTAAAAAGAAAAACCCTTGCTTTATCCATAATCCATGTTATTCTCTTGAACAAACAAATATTGGGGGTTGGTTTTTCAAAATATAGTATAATTATGAGGTCTTTATGCATTTATTTTTCATTGAAAACTTGTAGAATTAATTATGACATTTCGTTATTGAACGAAATGGTAATAACATTGATGTTCTTTAAATAAGAGGTCTTATGAATGGAAAAAAACAACACCTAAAGGAGTTATATGCCCTATTTAAGGGTTCAACATGAATAAATCTATATGATATTAGAGAAGTTACACATCCTAAAATTTTTAAATTACCATACAATATAGTCGGGATAAGTGTGACTAGTAGACACTAGAAAATACGGTGATGTCTAGTTATTCCATAGATTCTTGTTAGATGAATTTCCTCATTCTTTACAGTCAAATAAACCATAACTTAAAAAAAATGGTAAAAGAAGTATTTTATCAAGGATAAAGTAGCAAAATATTGTCCAATAAAAGGTAACATAAAAGTGAAAGATAACAGACAAAAAACAGAAGGTAATTTCTTACAAGACAAAAGAATAAACCTATACTTTGTGCTTTTTGTCCCAGTAATTAGCCAAGAATATACCTACACTATGCAGGCGAGGAGTTGGCTTAATGGTAAGGAAGAGGTTCTGAGAACGTGGAGCTCTCTTATCTTCATGTGTGTTATATTCCGGTTTATTCCGATTTTGTTCGATATGTCATACACTAACCTCCATTATTGGGATGTTTTATGCAAGCAGCATAGCTAAGTTACTTGAGAAGTACAACAGTTGCACCTATGGAGCATTGGAATCTGGTCAATCAGAAATTGACACACTGGTACATTAATCTCTTGATCTCTTCCATTTCAGCCTTAGGTTCATGGGCTTCATAGTTCATTTTACAATCAAAATTTGCTGATACATTTTATGTCAAGCAGAGCAAGTACCAGGAATATTTGAAGCTCAAAGAAAACTTTGAGGTCCTGCAGCATTCACAGAGGTAAAACTAAACTGTTTCTCTTAGCCATATCTGTTCAAAAATAAGCTGCTTGATTAATGTGAAAAATATGTACTTTGGATGTTGTAGACATTTTCTTGGGGAAAATTTAGGTGACTTGGGCACCAAGGAACTGGAGCAGGTTGAGCACCAGTTGGATTTCTCATTGAAGGAAATCAGATATAGAAAGGTAATAAAAATTAAACTTCTCTTGTTTTCCCCCCATAGTTTTGATGCTTCTTTGTTTTTTCAATTACAAGTATCTTATTTTTCTCTTTAATGAATGCAGATGCAGATGATGATCGACCAACTTTCTGAGCTGCAAACAAAGGTGTTAATATATTTCAATCATTAATCATTAGTAGTATTATATATTATTTTACTAATGCTGTATTCTTTCTACAGGAAGAAGCCCTACTGGAAACCAACAGAAACCTGAGAAGGAAGGTAAAAATTACATTCAAAATCATTCATATTTTACTGTAATTGATCTTAATAATATTAGTTACGTTTACAATATTTTTCCAGTTGGAGGAAAATAGTTCGACAATACGATCGTCATGGGAGACTGGGGAGCAAAGCATTCCATACAACCATCCGCCGCCACCTCAGCAGGATGGATTTTTCGAGCCTTTACATTGCAGGTACAATCCTAGTAATATTCCAGATGAGGATGCTGCTACATGCTCTGCAGTTGCACCAGGTGGATTTATCCCTGGTTGGATGCTTTGATTGTTTGAGCTTTAATTAACAGAATTCCATATTTTCTCATATAAAGTGATTGGAAATTAAGAATAGACAATAATCAAGCAGATCCCAACTTTTATTTTGTTGTATCTCTTATGGAGGATGCCTGCATGCATAGTTGCGAAGCTCCAATACTGTAAACACGTTGGATGCCATTGTTGGACACTAAGAATGCCAAGTGTTTACTCCTAGAATGTGGTGTTATTACTGGGTTTTTTTATACATAACTCTTGTGCTCTCGAGAGTTAAAAGATCTGATCCAACTCGGTCTAGATTTATAAAAACTCTTATGATTATCAGACATGGAAAATCTCTACAGAGAAAGAGAACAACATGACATTTTATACCATTTCCCATTTCCCATTTCCCAAAACTCTTCCAAATGAATTTCTTTTCCCCCAAGGGCAAGAAAACCATTGATGAGCACCAAAAACAGTGACTACCATGTTCAAGCAAAAGTCTAGCTATTGGTTGCTTGCTGTGACCACCTGCCACATCCTCACGTGTGTGTAAAGTTAGTGTGACAAAGGCAATACATACATATATAAACAGGCTTTGAATTTGAACCCAAGAGGGTGAGATTCTCTTGGTTTCGCTTTATATGTTATCATACAGCCACTAATATGAAATCTGTGCACGGCAAAAGAAAAATGCATGCCACTATGAACATGCTGATAAGATTTGACATCTTTAGAGCAAGCCTGCCTTATTTTCGCTAGATTTATGCCTACATAGAGAATCTGTTTTCAAACACTGTTTTTTTTTTACTTTTATTTTTGTTTCTTCAATGAGAAATGTCACTTTCCTTATCATCCATTTGTATTATGAATAAGTTCGTATGAGGAATCTCAAATAATACTACTAATATGTCTTTATTTGGTAATAAGGAAAATAATTCTTAAATCATTTGTAAATTCTTCGACCTCTCAATAATTAAATTAAAAGATATTATACATTTAAATATAATAAAGTTATATATATTTTTAAAAATTATAATAATAACAGTATTATTAATTTGAGATCTGAGTAAATTAAATTTAAAGAGAAAATCCACGCCGTCAGCTGGGAAGTGTGGCAACGAGGGGTGTCCGTACAGGGTTCTGACTGCAACTAGAGGCCATAAGAAGAAAATATGTAAGCAAATAAATATGATATTATGGTTCCAAAACAAGACAGTAAACGACTTAACAGATGTATTCCAACCAATGAGAACTCGACAGCACATCCTTAAAAACCACTGGTTTTTAACTCCAAATCTTCTCTAACTTCCCCTAAAACCACTCTTACATTCATTTTTCCCCCTTTTCTTTTTATCTTCAGATTCCAATTCTATATATTTGTGCATGCTTTCTCAGATGCAAGGCTTCACCTTTAGCAAACAACAACAAGCACAAGCAGCAAGCTCATGGGGAGAGGTAGGGTTCAGTTAAAGAGGACTGAAAACAAAATCAACAGGCAAGTTACTTTCTCCAAGAGGAGAGCTGGGTTGTTGAAGAAAGCTCACGAGATCTCCATTTTGTGCGATGCCGTGGTCGCTTTGATCGTCTTCTCCCAAAACGGGAAGGTCTTTGAATACTCAAGTGATTCCAGGTGCCTTTTTTCTACAAAAATCTAAGCTTTTTTTCTTCTCTATTACCTGTTGAAATATCCATGTTCCCGTACAGGGTTTCCCAGTAATTTGAATGTATTGGTTTCAGCAATTTTCCAGGGTTCCATGCAAAAGTTTTAGCAGGTGAAATTAAGGGAATGTTAATAGTTTCAGGCTAAAAAGGAGACTTGAAAATGTGACTGTAACAAAATCAGTAGTAGAATTTAGAAGTGTTTTCAGGGATGTTGAAGTAGCAAAAGAATGGAAACCTTTGGGTGGTGGGCTGTGTCACATCTTGCTAAAAGAAAGCTATTGACCAATGGAACAAGAAGATTATATACATATATATATATATTCGTAACTATTTTGAAAATTTTTATATTTTAAAAATAATTATGACATTATTTTGGGAAAAAATTTAAATTAATTTGATTTATAATATACATCGACCTTTGGCCTAGGTAGGTCGAACACTTAAAACCATATTTTAAAAATAATTTAGAAAACAATCATTTAAAAAAACAAAAAACTGATATACATTTCCAATTTTTTTTAAGGATTCGGGAGTCGATTAGGTTTAGGGAAGGATAAACAATTACACAACGCCCAAAAATTGGTACTTAATCGCTTACATATTGTCGTAAATTGTGGTCATCATAAATTCACACCAATATTTAAAGTACAATACTTTTATTGGATATTGAATAAATTATTTCGAATTATTTATTAAGGAAACTTCTTTAATTTGAACAAGAAATCTCGAGATTTGCACATCATCCACCAGAAATTCTATCACATCTATTTCTTGTATGTAAAAGAATGTTTCCCCCTAAATCGTTTAAAAATATTGAATTGAACTAGGAATTAATATCAAAACTTACATAAAATAATTCGTTACTTTTTCCAAAAAGCATAAATTTTCAATATTTAAATTAAAATAAAATAAAAAAAACAATTTTAAAATATTACTATCATTTTAATAGATAAATACAAACATTCGATTTATTTCAAGTTCACCATTCTTTCGAATATTGTATTGAATCGTACTATCTCTATAAGGTGGCATTTTTCACACTCATTCTAAGAATAGTGTTCTTGAAAATGCTTGAATAACATATTAAAATATATTTATTAACTAACAAAGAAGTATAAAAATTTAAATTTCATAATAAATATATATATAAACATAATAAAGAACCGAAATATATCTTACCAACATACGTAATGTACAAAATATGTTTATAGTGTGAATGTAATCAAGTATATACCTTTAATATATATTTATTTATATATAAATGTGAAACTATAAATCGTAATATGGATTGTTAATAAAACAATATTACAACCTGGACTAAAGTGCATATATATACAAACAAGATAAACTAAAATATGAATAAAAGAACCTAATCATGCTTAGTAAATAAGGATTAAATAATAAGAACAACAAATTTAGAGGTATAATAATGAACATATCAAAAATCATAGCTAATGTACAAATATTATATAACAGGAGTACTAAAGCAACAATAAATCCAAAACATCGTAGGACTAAAGTGAAAAAAATATTAAAAGATCAGGTTTTCAAAAAAAAAATTAACCAAGAACACAACAACACAAAAAACAATGTCTAAAATGAGCTTAATAAAACATATATTACTTAAACCTAAACAAGTTAAAATGAAATGGTCTAGTCAGGAATATAAGCATAAATATATTTACTACGAAATAAGGATAAGAATAAAATATAAAACAAATAAAGAGTTCAAAATCAAAGAAATCAAAGTTTCATTAGTGACCAAAATGTAATTGTTACAAAATTAAGACATTCCTTGCGCGATTAGCCCATGCGCTAAATGCATGGCTTCCCTCCTCCAAACGACATCATGTTGACACTGGGATATAACCTATTTCAAGGGTTTCTTTAAAACCCTATTTTCATTTTATACCCATTATCAGTCATGTTCTCTCCTTTTTCTTCCCTCCTTTCTTCTTTCATCCATCGAAGAGAGAAACCCAAGACCCCGGCCACCGCAAATCGGTAGCCACGGGGCGGAGAACACTCAAAACCCTTTCCCAAAACCACCCCTTTTACAACCGACCTCCTAATAATAAACTCGAAAAGTAAACTCGAAAATAAAAATCAAATCCCTAAAGGTAAAGGATTTACCTTCGGTGACGGGGTAATGTTGCTCCGGTGAAGCAATCAGCGGCTGAGTCTCGCCTAAAGGTGGGTTTTTAGTTTGAATCGTGCAGGATTTACCTTTGGTTTGAATTTGTTTTCTTTGTTTGAATACCCCTCTATTTTTTTACTGGTTCAAAATCCCTCAGTCCGATTCAAAAAACCATCCCACCAAAATAATACTTGCCTCTTAATTTATGGGTATTTTTCGGGTATAAATTATGAGATCTATTGGGTATGGGGAATGATTTCCCCAAAAAATCAGGATTTAGGTAAATTTTTAATGGTTTTTTTAGATTTGGTGAATATTTGACTGATGTGGTTGTTTAGTTATTGTTTGGTCTGATTTTCTGACGACAGTGGCTGTAAGGTTCATCGGTGGCGGCTCATACGGCGAAGAAGTCAAAACGTTGGTGCATGCATCGTACGCGCGATCAGGTGGTCATTTTGGTCGACGGCAATGGCAACTTCACATATTAGGGTAAAACTCTAATTTTTAGACGATTCAAACCATTAGATCTACAATCAGATCCAACGGTCGTGAATTGGCAGTGCAAAAGAAACGGTCCAAAAACCCTAGCTATTGAGCTCTCAAGCGTGGGTTTGGTAACCTGAAAATAATGAAAAACAATATTAGTAGTAATAATAATAATAACAACTCAGACGAAAACATGTGTCAACAACTGCCCCTCTTTGATCATTCTTTGTGTTAACAAGAATATGACAAAGATGAAAAGACAACACGTTTTCACTCTATTTCATCTTCCATTTTGAAATTCGATGATGATACATATCTCAAGGGAGATATTTTCAACATTTTGTTTCAAGAGAAATAATCTCAAAGGATACAATTGTTATTTGTTGACAGCATTGTTCCTTCATAATGAGGACGGTTGACCCATTTAAATAGTTGGTTCTTCGATTGTAGAAGTCAAATTTGAAAAACCTATTGCTTTTATTCTTTTAAAGAACGCTAAATCTATTGACGATCTCACTCCTTTCGAATAACATTAAGTTGTATTTGAATAATTGTATCTGAACACAACACTACTTCTTTTTGTTGAGGAAATCTAATTGCCTTGATATAATTTAATGTTGAAAATGACACTTCTCATCCACATTGAAGAGATCTGGATGCTTTTGAGTAAATTGTTTATTGAAGATGATGTTGTTCCCTCTTATTGAGAAAGTCGGTCAGTCTGGAAATAATTTGGTGCTGAAGACGACACTGCTCATCCGTGTTGAAGAATTATAACTGATTTCATATGACGTTGTTCATTATCATTGAGAAAGTTGGGTAAATCTGGATAATTTAAAGATAACACGGTTTCTTCGCGTTAAGGAAATCTGATTGTTTGAGGATGACAATGCTCATTCGCATTGAGGACATCTATATGTATTTCAATAATTTGGAGATAACACGGTTCCTTCATGCTGAAGAAGTTTGATTGTCTA